GATTGAATTGAGAATTGAGAATTGAGAATTGAGATTGTTGGTGGCTTATATTTATATGGTGTGTGGTGTCTTTTTAATTTTTATCTAATGTTGGATATGAACGAATTGCCGAAAAGGAAAAGGGAAAAGGCGGAAAAAAATATATTATGGTATTATCTTGAAAAGCTGTCAAATTGTGTGATTGGGAAGGCCATGTGGGGCTGAGATGTCATGTGTTCTAAAATTTGCTGTGTGTATATATATATATATAATATATTCATTACATTGCATGGTGGAAGTAGGATTTTGTGAGTTTTTCGTAATCGGGATACATAATATACATTATTTTCGGAAAAACTTATTAACATTACATAGTGCAAATAGGATTTTTTTTGAGTTTTTTTCGGTGTTTGGGGTATATACGTTATTTTGGGAAAAACTTATTAGGATTCATAGTGCAAATAGGAATTTTTATTTTTTTTTCGAGTCTTTTTCGGGTGTTTGGGATATATTACATTATTGGGAAAAACTTATTACGATTCACAGTGCAAATAGGATTTCTTGAGCTTTTCTTTTGGGTGTTTAGATATATAATTTTTTTAGTAAAAAATTGTTTGAATAGACAACATGAGTTAAGGTTAGAAAAGAATTACATTGGCAAGAAAATAAAATATTTATGTAGATTGTAAATTGACAATTATTTGAAGGGTAATATTAGTCAAGTTGTAACCCAACTTATTTGAATAGACAAAGTGAGTTAAAGGTTAGAAAAAAATTACATAGGCCGAAAATAAATATTTTTGTAGATTGTAAATTGACATAAGATAAAATATAATTCTAAAGTTGACTTAATGGAAAATAGTAAAATAATGAATATAATTGCTTGATTGTTAAATTTTGTTGAAAATGTGCAGTAATGATTTGTTTTATCATTTAATTGTATTAATAAAATTGAGAATAAAATATGGAATTGGATGAATAGTTTTTTAATGAACTTTTAAAAAAATTATATTTAATTGTAGTTTCAATGAATAAATTATACAAACAAAAAACAATTTATTTCAAATACTTTATTATTTTCCTTTTAAATCTCTTATGCCGGGCAGGCATCGCTGTCATTTGGGTGTGTGTTGAAGTAAATTATAGAGTATTTATGAAATAGCATGTTAATTATGTTGCTCTCGTGTGGGGGCAATATTGAGTTAATTATGGCGAATAAAATTAGCATGTCAATTATGAGAGGCAGATGAATTACACTAAGAAATTTATGCCACAGACTCGGCTCATTGATATTAGTACAATCACAGATATTGATGATAGGTAGTATGGTATAATAAAAATTGGACTTNAATATATATATATATATATATATATATATTTCATTTTATTTTGAAGAGCACAATTTTTATTGGATACATATTTTCCATAAAAGTAACCCATATAATATGGGATAATAATTATGGGGTAGGTTGAGCGGGTAGTTCAGTATCCAGACCCGTCCTCGGACCTTATGGTCGTGCCACGTGGTAACCTGTGACCTGCTGTGGGTCCAGCGGGTTTGGACTTGTGAGTGTGAACATGATAAATTATGAGTATGAGGTGTTTCAATCATTGAGCTTGAATGTCTATAGGGGAAGTAGAGAGAAATAAATATGTCTACATATAAACACAATTCTGCCTGCAAAGTGCAATCAGCTACTTATGTTACAACTTTGAAGGCTATTAACCAATGCAATCACTCCACTTAATCAAGGATATAGCCCAGTAACATTAGTACAAGTGGTTAAATATGTTGAGGCCCATTACTTAACAAAACACGTTTTTATAATCACGTCCACGTTGCTCTACAAGAAGCGTCGGGTTTCCTCGAGTATCGTGTTATATCAAGAATTAAATTTGATGAATTGTAGTGTTTTTTAGATTTTCTTTTTCTTTTTAACATCCTAAGAATTAAACTTGGATGAATTCTAGAGTTTTTGAGTTTTTCTTGTTAACGTCCTATCAATGACTTAATTAAATTCTATTATTAGACATGACCACGGGCCGAATCGGCCCGAAACCGGCTCGTTGACCGCAGGTATTAAATCGACCCGTGATTTTACCTGTTCCAAACAAGAACCGTAATATGTGGTTCGTTCTTTTTTATATATATAATTTTTATTATATTGATTTTTTTTAAGGACTGGCTGTTATGAACCGGTTTGGAACAGTGATTCAATGAACCGGCCCATATATATGATCGGGCCGGTTCAAGGCCTCCAAAACTGCTGCTCGAAACAGGTTTTGACATATCTATATAGGTAACTAGTGCTCTTTTTATAAATATGAACACTTTATTGAAAATATTATATATTGCTTTCTAATAAAAATATGACATTTGATAAATATTATATTTTTACTAATATAAATAGAAATTTGAAATTTGATTAGTATAAATGTGTTGTGGCTTGATTATGTAAAGGACGTGCTTGAAAAAAATCTTCCAAGGTTTGTTACCTACCTTTTTATTTTTCTTTATGGGCTACATATATGTAGCGTGCATGATTGATTGTGTGTTGAAATTAGTAATTCAAATAAAATTGTTTAATTGATGTAATGTACATCTGAATGTAATATTATCTGAGATATTAACAAAGTAATATCATTGATAAAATATATGAATTATTATGCACGACCTGATGTGTTATTTATTGAAAATTATTGTCGTGACTAATCGAAACCTAATTTCGGACTAATGTGAAGATCAGTTTCGAGCACAGATTTTTTTAGTTTTGCTTTGATTTTTTGGAATTGGATTTAAAATATTTTTAAAAAAAAAATGTCATGTCCAAATATAGAATAAAAAAGTGATAAAAGTCAATGTTATAAAAATGAGATGCTGCTAAACTATGATTGGATATAAATTAAAAATGTACTATCCGATGGATGTGATATAAAAAAATATTGATCGGTAATGGATGATAAGTTAAAAATATGTGGCCAATGAATAATCTTATTTGTTGAATATTGTATAATATTTATAGACTTTAGTTTTTAATTATATTTAGTGGGATTATAAAGAAAAAAAAATTAGGTAAAATTGCATTACTTATTAGATTTTAACTTTATCTATAATTTCTATCAGATAAAATCTTGAATTATAAAAAAGGAAAAAAGAAAAAAAAAATTGAATCCCCACCTAAATATTTTGGAAGAGACTGCAATTAATTGTAACAACTAAGGATTATGGGAAGCATGATAACAACGGCTTAAATATTTATTCCAGAATAGAAACCCATGTGCTTGTCCTCTACTTTATTGAATTCTAAACGATAAAACATAAGAATATTTATTTATTTATTTACTGGTATATATATATATATAGTTTTTGTCTTGACCCAACTGTGACAGCTACAAGATACGATGATACTTAATTTGTGTATTGCTTCCTTCTAATCGAAGCTGGATAAATTACACGCAATGATAAGATTTTTTTTGCTCGGTTGATTGACTAATTTGGACAAAAATGCCAGCAATGTGCCCATATTAACTCTGTAATATATAAGACTATAAATATCCCCTATAAATCTGCCAAAAAACCTACCTGAAAACTAGGGCTGTTGGATAAAGTTTTGTTTTATTAAATTTTTGTTCTATGTTTGGCTTGAGAATATTGAAGGGAAAAAAACTGGGATGACAAAATTTCTAAAAAATTCAATGCCCACGCTTAATTTTTTATATTTGATTATATGCACCCACTCTGTCACTGTGTTTGGTAAGTCAAATAAGCTGGCTCAATCACAACTTTGAACAAAATAGTCATCTCAGTGAAATGAAGATGGAAATTTTTATTGAAAAATATTAAAAATACATAATTAAATTTTTATTTATATGCCCAGTGGCAACTTGGGTAATTGGCTGAACCTGCTTAATTAGCAACATTAACGATTTTTATAAATACTTTGTATGAACTTAATCGTCACTTTACGAGATATATGTGCCTAAGAAGCCTACAAAATTTGAAAACGGCGCAAGACATGTGCATATGTTGTGGTCGTGAAATTGATAATAGTCGCATTCTATTTTTCATTATTTTATTATTATTATTATTATTATTATTATTATTATTATTATTATTATAAAATGACAAGATTGGCATGTTCTTGACGTGATTTATAACTGAATCCTGACGATTTTTTCCCTGTTTCAATCAGGTGCAATGTATTATGATGATTTTTTCCCACTATTTATTCTTCAATAAGGTGTAATGTATTAAGAGGTGGAAACAAAAAGAACACAGCTTGAGTTTTAAATATTTGAGTTTGGGCTTGAGCTCTTATTTAGTTGACTCGAGTTCGATTCATGAATAATACAAGTCAATGAACAAGATCGATACTGACTTGTTTATCAATTAGCGAGTCGAATTCGAGCATATTAACAAGCCGAGCATCAAAAGATTATAGAAAGAATCATATATTTTAGTCTTAATAAACCGAGTCCAACACACGAACGTACCGTTTCTTATTCCTATAAATAAGGTATATATATGCATGCATAGGCTGATAATTTCTAGAAAGTTTCCGATTAATTTGTTATATTAAAGAGCTACAGAATTAGATCCCCTCGATAGTCAATTCATCTAAATTATGCATGAAATACTGTTCATAAAGAGGGGCCACCTTAAATTGTCTTTTTCGTTTTTATTTTATTAGTACACGCTACGTAAATAAAATAACACTCAACATATATATACATGTCACAATGTGTGTGGCGAACTTGATATAAAAGGACAAATACAAATTAATGTTGTAATCTACCTCCACAATCCACATCACATGTGTGGTATGGGCATCAGATAAATTATTAAAATAGTGAAAAGGGGATAAGTAAAGGATTCAAGACTAAATTAAAGTACCTCCGTAAATAATAATAATAATAATAATAATAATAATAATAATAATAATAATAATAATAATAATAATAATAATATAGAGTTCGTTGCTAATTGGCTAGTTAAGACTCCATCCATTTAGGAAATATTATCATTTTAGAAAAAATTTATAATTTCATTTTATACATAATACTATCATAAATCAGATCTTATATAAATTATATTTATATACTTTTTTAATAATTTTTTAATACTTTAGATACTTTTTTGATATCTGATTAAGTGGTCCATACGAGGTCAACCACACTATCATTAAAAAAGTGTGAGTACAATTAAAAGATTAGACATATCAATCAACCAGATACATTGGAGTTTATAGAATCAAATTACACAGTCTTCAACTTGCCCATCACCACATGCCAATAATTTGTCTGGAGTTTGAGGACTGATTTGAAAATAATAATATAAATCTATATATCTATACATGTATCTTATATTAGATGAAAAATAATGTGATTTTGCAGTAAAAAGATGATGTTTTAGTAGTAATTTAGTGTGAATGCCCAAATTTTAAACAGCGAGGAAAATTGCAATAGGTTACTGCTATTTAAGCAGTAACTAAGATAGTGATAATATTGCCCAACTCTTTTAGCTGATTATTTCCAGATTAGTGCAATAATTTGCTGCTATTTTTAGTGCATTGGTAATAATTTTGTATGTGGGATCTTTTATTAGTAATTTCGATTTTTTTCCTGAAAAACAACAGTATATTTTTTTTTTTAAAAAAAAATATTAATATTTTGCAATAAATGACAATAAAAAGCGTCCCCAAAATCTAATAGCATCACAATACTTGTAATGATATAATTATCATTTTCTAGAACCGTCATTCTCACTCCCATTCTATTACCCCATACAAACCAAGCACAAGACAAATCCACAATATATTTAAAGATCATGGAAGTTAAGTGCAAATAGCCCAGGATTTTATTCACGTGCCAGTATAAAGTGAAGTCAGATTTTTCATTAATAAGTTCAAAATTGTAGCACATGTCTATGCAGCAAATTCAAACCTACCAGCGAGATTTTTCACTATTGGATCACATTGAATAGGTCGGATTGAATTTTTCTGTTCAGACATCAAATTTATGCATCCCCTACCGCTAATAAAGTTAAAAACAAAAAATAAAAGAAAATATAAGTGCTAGCCAAGTACTTCAAAACCAAAACTAACCAAACTTGGATAAACAAGAACTTAAAAACAAAAGAAAATAAAACAATCAGATGGCTGATCACAAAATTTAAGTAAATCTGAGGTGCTTGAATCAGTGAGATTCCAAATTTTTTGTACTCCGCAAGTGCATCAAAATTTGCAGAGGGTACAACTGCTTAAAGCCATAAAAAACATGGTATCAATCAAGAAACTCCTTCCTTCTACTCAACCACTCTATGAGAAAACAAAGGCATAACTTCTCAAATTTACAATGAAAATAAGCATCAGCAGTGCCTGCATCATCTGTGTCTAAAGTAGTCAATACACCATCCTTGAAAACGAACCTAGAATCGAACCCTTGAGAAATCTGAAATCTTTTCTTTGCAGCCTTGCTCTTACTCGTAACATGACAATTGCAGTTCATCATCAACAAATTTTCGTGATCCTCACATTCAGACACGTCTTTGTGAAATTTCAAACACTGGCAGCGATTTCTATACTCACCGCTGTCTTTTTTCATAATACCACGAGAATTTTCGCCTACGAAAAATTTACTTAGTGACAGGTGAAGATTTGCAGAAAAAGAGGCCACAAAATCATGAGCATCCTCAATGCCCGAGTCACATCCCTTGAGCTCCCACTCGGCATTTATAATTCTCACCACTAAATTATAGAGGTCGACAAAACATTCAGGGCAGCATTGGTAGAAGCACACGGCAGTAGGACGACTTGCAATAGCGTCAGGTGTAAAAGTCGTATTTTCACCCGAATCTTTGGGTGAGGCACAATTATCAGTCAGTGGAGGATTATTGAGCTGCTCACGACATTCAATAAAACCATTAGAAAGTTTGACGGAGCCCAGTGCTGGATTATCTGTAGCATTTGAAGACTCTACATGAACTTCGTCCAAAGCCAATGTGTCTTTATGGGGGACTGAAGGCTCGTCTGCTGTAACTCTGACTTCATGACCTGCATCAGCACATCCCTTGTTGACATCGGTTGGCGAATCAGAATTTTCTGCAAAGACTGCCTGGGGATTTTTTCCACAAACTTCTTCATGTACATTCACATCCGGAACTTCTAGCTTGCAGCAATCACCTTCAGAATTACCTTCCTTGCAGATATCATTATCAGTTGGACCCAAGCATATATCACAATTTACCTCAACACGAGTATCATCCTCTAAACTGAAGAAAAAAAAGATACACAAATCTCGTGTTAGTAAAATAATAGAGTACTTGAATGAAACCACTCGTACAAAATTTTAGACGGAGGGGAAGCAATAGAAAGTCAAAGGATGTGGGAGTATTCAAAATTTTGACTTTTGAGTCGACAATGCAGTTTGACTACGTCTAGTTGCTTATGCAGTTTGTTATCCTCACATTTCTCATTTGTAATAATAAAAGAGGGTGTTGCTACAGAAAGAGGAAAGGATTAGAAAGTTGAAATGCATATACATTTCGACGTAGGGCATAAAAGTCAACACTCACTCTCTTTAAGATTTGGCAAACAGTACCTTAGCGTAGTGTATCAAACTAGTAGACAGAGGAAAAGAAAACGGGAAAAGACGTAACAATACCTGTGCAATGCATGCGCCCAACCGATAACAATATCTTCAAGATAAGCCACTTGTGATAGAATACGAACAAACAGACTTCTATTTTTCCCAGCTTGAATTTTATCATCAATTCGTCTCACGAGAGCTTCCAGAACTTTCCGAACCTCAGAGCAGACTACTCTCAAAGAGGTGTATTCTCCTCTATATGCTGATAGCCCAACTGCAACAAGTCCCCTGACCAAACCAAACTCTTTGGTCTTGATATTGCTTGAACCAGAAGGAACAGCAGCAGCTTTGTCCGGCGAGTCGATGGGATGGACAATACATGAATTGAAGGGCCAACCTTTCCAGGGCCCACTTGTGTTGGCTGAAGGACCTTCCTTCAACTTGGATGTAACCCAACAGAGTTCAGCAAAATGAGGATAACAAAGAATCTGGTGGCCAAATGTGGATATTGCCAAAAGCAAATTAGACCTCCCTTTCGGAGTCTTTTTATTTGACAAAGAAACTTGAGTGGTGGTCGGGCTGACACGGCTAGGGTTCATATTGTGCGATTGGTCAGCATCACCTTTGACTACACGGTCCATGTCATCAGCTTTATCTGAATTCTCAGGATTATGATTTCCACCACGAATTGACTGAACAAAGTGCTGAGCCATATCTTTAGTCAACTTAGAGGCAAAAGATCTAATCACTCTATCATGATCGAATTTCCCATCGAGCTGCACTGAGAATCGCGGCACCTTATGATTTAGTGGGGTCGAGAGGCTGCAATTCGATGTTTCATGCCCAAAAAACTCTCTTATCCTATTAGGTAGCGAAGAGAGTGGTATTTCTGATGTGGCCTGTTGAAAGAAAAAAATTGCATCAGGAACTCCTACACTATTGATTCATTAACTAACAATCTGATATAGCCGTGAAAAATAGATCACTTCTGATGGTAAGATATTTTAGTGTACATAACATAAACAAAATATCAAGAATCTTCTGAACCACGAGATGCTCTCACTACAGATATTTTCCATCTAGGACAAAGAATTCCAATTCCCATACAAATGCGTAGATGTCTTCTATCAGATAATAGAAAAGGAAATTCTCTCACAAACTCTAACCAACTTCAGGAAAGGCCAACAGGTATCCAGATCATATGCTTTTTACTGAAAAAGATTTATACTAGAAGCATAAATTTGGGCATTCAAATATTGAAACCCTAGACACTAAACAGGCATAGAAGATGCTCTTAATGTCAAATGAGAAGTTATCAACTCGTACTACATTGCCATGTTTGTAATTTTTATATTTTGTATCACAAAAATACTACAAAATAACCCCAAACTTTAAAGACCTTGAAAAAACCCCAGCATACCAGAATTATTAAAGATGTATTGACTCGCATTGACTCCACTTGCTCAATGAAAGAGGTCCAGATATATGTGGCCTTCTTCGCAGTAGGTTGAGATTGTGGTGCCTCTGAACAAGCAGCACCAGCACTTGGACAGAACCCATTTTCCTTCTCAATTGCACCGTAACAGTCAGAAGATTGAGGTTTCATAGAAGTTGTCTCACAGACATCCTCAGAGATTTCATCATGTGCCTCAACAGCCCACAAATCAACCATTGGCATATATAACATGCACAAACTCGAACTCGCACACCTCACTGCCATTACAATTCAAACTAATTAATAATTATATACTCATCGATCACACCCAGGGAAATAAAGAAAGATTGGTGACAAAGCAAAATAGGAGAAAAGGATACAATAACTGTAAATATTGTTATGAAGACAAAGGGCAGAAGGCAAAAATGCAGAGAATAACACCAATTACACTTATTTACTCAGATCGTGCAGCCTAGTCTAGGCTTAATGACATCATTTGAACTCAAAATGGCAAGACTCATATCAGATCAAGATATGGATTAAAACCTCTCGCAAGCTAAAATATGCCCAACCCTCCGTTCCTCTGCCCTTTTTCCATTTCAAGCAAATTCAAAATAAGTCATCCCCTTTTGCTCCATCCACCAAATAAAAAAGAAAAAAATAATAACAGAAAGAAAACAGTGAACAATTGAGCCAAAACATTTTCCTCCATAAAGTTGCAACAAAGCATTGGCGACAAGGTCGCGGGAACATAACGAGACAGGATGTCCAAAGAAACAGAAGATACCACACGCAACATATATGATACGAGAGAATGGCACACAATTGAACAGGCCAGCCACTACTTTAAATGAACAAGCAAAAGTGAACAATTGCATTGCCAAAAGGCATATAGTCCATCTAAAAGGGCCTGCATCTAACTAAAACATCTTGCAAATTATCCCTGATCAGAACAAGGAAGGCTTCACTTTAAACCAAATTGGTCTTGATGCCAAAGAAACCAACTGATACCATATATTGCTATAACTTTAATTTTTTTATTCACTGAAACCTGAAAATTAAAACCTAATACTGAAATTTTCTGTAGGGACAAGCTAAAGTCTTGAATTATAAACATTGTTGAGATCAATTGAAAACATATTTAGAAAAAGATGTAACTGATATCCAAGAAAAGACAGAAACATGGGTGTCCCAGTGGAATTTGCAAACTATCAACGCACACATGACTCCAAATTAACACCAATAACACTTTTGCTGCTTTCCTGCTGAAGTGGAATGAAATAAGTTGAAATTGAAAAGTAGACATACTCAATATATGTGTTAGCCCATGAATCAAGTCTCCATGCCCCTCATGGGAGATACTAGCCAAATCAATTTTCCATACATCAATGTTGCCAACATAATAATGAAGAAGACATGAGGCAAGATGCCTCTGGCCAGACCTTGGACTTCCGCCAATCAACACTTGAAAGCCTGATCTATCACAGAGTCCATAAGACATATTCTGCAGCAACCCAGGGCGAACACTTGTACACACAGATCTGGAAGGGATAGTATCTGAACAACCCTCGTAGGCATTCTCCCCTATCAAATTAGATGCATAAAGGTCACGCTCTCCAAACAGGACATTCGCACGCAACATGCTCTTCTCAATCTCATTTGTAACATCCATTTCTTGAAGCAAATCGTCCAGGTGCAACCACCAACTGTCACTCTGTACACTCCTTCTACCTAAAGCAGAAACAATGATTTCTTTCACCAATCTGCAAGCCTTCTTCAGTGGTGGTGGCAACCAGGCACGCTCATCCAGGTATAAACAAACCAGCAGTCTCACAAGTGGAACAAGAAGACAGGGGACAAGATGAATTTCAAGAGGTGATGAAACCACGTCATTCAGAGCAATACCACTTTCTCTACGGGAACACGGAGGAGGTGCACATGAAAGAGCCTTCAACCAGTCTCTCTCCTCCACAGAAAAAGCTGGAATAGCAGGGCAGTTACTGTCGGCAGCTCTACTTTCAGCTGCTGAGAGGACTTCTTGCAAAGGGAAGTTCCTTCGAAGAGAAACTATAGCCGCTTGAGTACAAAGAGCCTGCAGGTCGGCTCCAGCAAAACCCACAGTTTTCTGTGCCATCCACTTCAATAAGGACCCAGCTACAGGTTTGGGCCACTTTTGAGTGTGCAATGAGAGGATTGCTTCTCTGTCTTTAACAGAAGGCAGTGGAAAATAAATCTCCCGATCAAATCTTCCAGGCCTCCTTAGAGCCGGATCAACAGCGTCCGGACGATTAGTTGCTCCAATTACAATAACTGAACCCCGAGATTTAAGGCCATCCATCAACGCGAGCAGAGTGGAGACAACAGAATTGTGTGTTTGATCTTGCTGCTTGGTGCGGCAGGGGGCCAAACCATCTATCTCATCAAAGAAAATTATAGAGGGCTGAGATTTTTCCGCAACCTGAAATAAAAGTCTGAGCTGGCGCTCAGCATCACCGACATATTTTCCAAGACAATCTGCACCTTTGCGTGCAAAATATGCTATCCTCCTGTCACCACGAGCACAGGAACCAACTAGTGCACGCACAACCAATGTCTTACCAGTTCCAGGAAACCCGTGCAACAGAACTCCCCGAGGAGGTGTGAGTCCTATATTACTGAAAAACTCAGGGTATAGGAGTGGCAGTATGACAACCTCTTTCATGCACTGAATGACATTTTGCAACCCAGCAACAGATTCCCAGCCCTGGAACTGTCTCTGGCGCTCGGAGTTTTCACCTCCAATGTATGTAGGTGCTATTCTCCACAAATCCCGTTGAAGCCTTTTTCCCTCACGTTTCAGAAACTCCTCATCTTCCCCACAATTCTCCAACCATTTTTCTTCGGCTTCAATATCCTTACGGCTTGCATCATTGGCCATCTTCCTTAATTCCAACTTCAACTTTTTTGCCTTCATTTTCTTCAACCGTTGTGCATATTGTACCCCGCATGGTTGAAATAGACGCCGATGATCAGTGCATGCTATAAGAAATTTGCGGTGATCAAAGATGCAATTCTTAGCCCGCGCACATGGCTGCAAATTGAAACAAATTAACAAGTTTGACAGTAACCTAGTCAAATATGAGAAATTAACAAGACAAGCAGCAAAAAGACAAAGCATGGAAATGGTAATAGAAGACGACAAAGAGAATTCAACAAACAAATGAGTGCTGGAAGGGTGAAAAGAGCACAAGGTATAATATATAGACAAACCACTCACTAGGTGGTAAGTTTTTGGACATCGATCAACGCGGCACCCTATGGTTGCTCCAGGTCTCCTACAGCGGCTGCATTTCAGGACCCTTCCTCGGTAAAGTGCAGCTTTGACATTTTTCAGGCGGCCCAAACCTGCAAAATAAACCTGAAAACCACTATCAGAAAAGCTATTTGAACATCATCCCCAATACAAGAATAAACAACTACAATTCATGCTCATCAAAATGAAGTAAAACGGCACGGAACATGAGATGTGTACAAAAAAGGAAGATATATAAAATCTGACAGGTGAAAACCCAAATATTGTCCTACAGACTAAAGCACATATTGCCTAGTCACCCAGTCTTAGTTCGATTCCATCAAACAATCTGAATTAAAGAGCATTTCTTAAACAATAGAATTATTATCATATTGCAACAAATTTGGAATATGGAACACACCTCTGGACTCCATACAGCACATTGTTGATGAACCCAAATTCCTGCTATACCAAACCGATCATTGATAGGACCTAGAAGCCGCCCAAGCCATCCAGATTGATCTCCAAATCCATCCCATACATCATAGTTAGGTTCTTCTGAAGCAGAAGATCCACTATAAGCCTCACTATCACTGCCAGTACCTTCCACTACAAGGATTTTAGGAGGTTTTCCATCTGTGCCACCCCCACATAAACCACAGCGTCTTCCCAGTTTTATTCTCGGTTTCCTGTCTTCAACAGCTAAAGCATTGTAGTTCCCCTTCGATTTGTTAGATGTCTCATCTTCACGATGCTTGTTAATGGTTTCATCTTCAAGAGGCTTATCAGGATGAACCCCGTCTTCTTTTGCTTGTTCAGCTGTCGCACAATCGATTCCAGCAACATAACCTTGGTCAGGTAAAGCATCAGATGCAAATTCTTCCTGCGCCATACAATCTTCTATTGTCTCCACATTCCCATTGGTATCACATTCTCCCAATCCTGGATCCCTTTGAACTGCAGTCTTGTTGTTCTCATCCAACTGTACAGCCACAGAGGAAACTTCTAATTCAACTGCATCTGAATCCAGTTCAAGTTCCCGCTCCTCTACCTCGGGCAGCGCTGAAGCCACACGGCCATTTATTTCTGCAACTGCATTTTCGAATTTCAATTCCACCTCCAATTGCAGTCCATCTTCATCATCCATCACTTCCATACCCTCATCCCTGCTCTTTTCTTCACCACTGTCCAACCTCTCTCCCAAATCAATTTCCTTGTCTTGATTTTCCAGGACATTTGAAGCTTTAATTCTTCCTGGCCTCTTTGATTTAACAATTGTTGACTTCTCACCCACTGACGCCTCTTTATTTTTGTAGCTCTGCAGTTCCACTTTATCCTTCGACCCACCATGATCATCAAAAAGCTTTCTCTTACCCTTATCTGAAGATTCTCCTCTATGCCTCCTAGAAAATCCTGCACCCATTCCCCTAGATCTCAACCTTGGTACCCAACTACCAATCTGTTCATCCAAATCCCTCGAACTCGAGCACGGTGTCTCACAATGTGCCCTATCTCCTCTTCTGACCTTATCCACACCACCGGTCATATTCCTATCAATCCTTCTGCGCTTTTTTGGCGGCATAGGTGATGAATCAAGCAACACGGGGGCCTTACGAGCCCTGCTGCTCCTCCGAAGCTCCAATTCATTCCCTCCGTTATTGAGCTCGCTTGATTCAGCCTTTTCAGCCCCTTCATGGCTTTTTGTGTAAGCTTTCTCACAAATTGAGTCTAGTTTCTTGTGCTTTTTCTTACCCTTGAACTTATTCCTGAATTTCTGATCCTTCCTTCTCTGAACTACAGATTCAGACCGGGATAAGCGCATGACTGTAACAAGAATAAGAGCAAACAAATGTGCGCGCTACCTATCTGCCTCCTCCTCTGTCTCCCCAGATAATTTCTACACCTCGCACACCATACAAATTCAACTCAAAAATGGATAAGGTTCAAAGGGTTTCCCGTGTCCGAATGAAAGCAAATCGTAGAAAATGGGGCGCGTACAAGACTGGACTTCAGCCACTCGATCATGCAGAGGAAACGTCAACGAAACACCATAGAACCCTAGAATTTATCATACTTTTTCATCTCTCTTTTCTTCCGGAAAAACTCTAGAATTGAGAATTTGAGAGTCAAGATTATGATTATACAAAGAAAAATTGTATTTCCAATTTGGGAATTTCTTGAACTTTTAGGGCTTTTTTTTCTTCCTCGGTGTGCAGTTACAGAAGACTACTGAAGGCGGAGGTATTGAGAAAAGGTTCTAATCTAAATTCACTCGGAGGAAAATGGAAAATATATACTGATTTGTGAGGGCCCAAACACTCGAGATTTACGCGCGTGCATCACACAGTTTGAGTAAAGGGAAGGAGTGTAGGCCCACGTGCTTTTTTATAGTGAGGTGAAGGGTTATGTTGGTTCATCGGGAAGATTGTGTGAAACGCGCCAACTGGTGAGAACGGGGGTAGTGTGCAAAAAGGTCGATTATACAATTTTGTAGATTTTTCCCACCTAACGTTACCGCCAAATTTGGGGTATTTTCATTTCCTAGCCCAACAAATAAAATGTAATTTAACGTTAATTTTAGTTATTTATTTATTGTACTTTTTATAGTCATTCATTTTTATAATTTAATTTAATATAGATTTTTAAAATTTATTTGAAAGAATACATAAATATAATATTTGACATTATATAATTTAAAATTTATTTTATTTACAGAAAAAGTTGCAGGTAGTGAGTGGAACCCGATTTATATTGGTATGGGTGAGAGGTGAAAAAGAATTCCTTATTTATTATTTTTCGACGATCTTCTATTGTTTATTGAGGCTTCTTTGGATCAAGCTTTTACCCTTCATTCGGCACTCTAGGTTGAAAGTAAGTTCCGCGAAAATAAGAGTTTTCTTTTCGAAGAATGTAGATGTGAGTCGTACAAAATAATTATCTGATGCTTTGGGTTTCACAAAGGTGGATAGTCTAGGAAAATATTTGGGCATGCCACTAGTTCATGATAGAGTTTCCAATGGCATGCATCCTAGTATTCTAGAAAGACCTGAGAATCGATTAGCTGGTTGGCAGTCGAAATCCTTGTCAATGGTCGGTCGAGTAGTTTTTATTCAATCGGTTTTGAACTCCTTGTCGTTGTACTCTATTCATATGACTTGGATCCCAAGACCGGTTTTGGATTATTTAGAACGGAGATGTAGAAATCTTATATGGGGTGGGACTGAATCATCACGAAAGCCTAGCTTGGTGGGGTGGAATACTATCTGCTCGTCGAAGGAAGCTTGAAGGTTGGGTCTTTGAAGTAAACGCCAGATGGATCAAGCCATGATTATGAAACTCTGCTGGAAATTGGTTGCAAATCAAGATAAACGATGGGTTCAAGTTTTTTAGAGCAAAGTATCGACTTGATACTGTTGCTCTACTGTCTGAAGTTGAATTTCCTCCGAATTCTTCAACACTGAAAGCTCTTAGTAAAGTGTGGAAGGATGTTCGCAAGGGGGTTTGTTAGTCGATCAGTGATGGAATGTTTGTACAATTTTGGTTGGACAAGTGATTACACAATTCTGTCCCGCTGGTAGATGTTGCAATAGGCGTAATCCCTGAAGGGCAAATTGATGAGTGGTATCGAACTATGTTGATAATGATGGAAGTTAGCGATGGGATCCATTTTTCTCGTTGTTGCCATCAACGATTCTCCTTCAAGTTGTTTGCTTGCCGCCGAGAGTAGAGAATGGAGTAGATATTTTATATTGGGGCTTTTCTGGATGAGGAGATTTTATAGGCAAATTTGCTTATCAGTCCTTGTCCCAGCCTACTGTGTTAAATGATGCGAAGTTATGATGGAAAATTTGGCATTCGATTAGCCCTCAAATAATACGCAATTTTCAATAGTTGGTAGCTCAAAAGAGATTGTTAACAAATGCCGAGAGTTATCATCGACATATCATTTTAAGTCGTCCCTTTTATTATGGTTGATGTTCAGCGTCAACACCTATCATTTTCAATAAACTCTCTCATACTTTAACATCACATCAACTTTAAATATTAAGTAAATACAAATTCAAAATCTCATCAAATCTTACTCCCAATCAACTTTATTCAAATTTAACTCACTTTAGCAAATAAATCCACAATTTTACTTTTATCGAGTCGCGCCCTTAAATACCAAAATGTCTTTAAGAATCCCGAATGAATACATCATAGTTTTATAAAATATTTTGAGTTTACTAATTGGGATTATTGTACCTTAAAGACAAAAAGATAGGATTAGTGCATATTTATGTTGTTTTTCACAAATTATTTTCATATAAATGTATATTATATTGTGAATTGTTAAATCGTTGTAAAACATATGAACAAATGATATAAACACACACACACTAGACATGGCCAAAACCCAGGCTGGGTCACGACCCGGCCTGGCCCGCCGGATCGCCGGGCTCGAAAACACTGACCCTGAACCGGCAAAGACCTATACCCGTGTCGAGTCCGTGTCCGGGCCGGGTCGTGTCAGGGTCGTGCCGGGTCCAGGCTTTCTTAAAAAAAAAGTATAAAAAAATAAAAAAAAAAAAATTGAAAAGAAGGGTCATCGACCCGGCCCGGCCCTGACCTTCCGGGCCGAGTCATGAAATGGATGACCCCTTACACGGCCCGTTTGAAATCCGGGCCGGGTCAGGCCAGGCGACCCTTTGGCCACATGTCTAACACACACATATATAAACACGTATGACTATCTAGTAGGTTCCTACGACAAAGCTAGCCGGGTTAGCTGTCCCGGCGTCCAGTCCCTCTCTCAACTAGAAGGTTTTTGGGGTTCAAATCCGACCTCGAGTTTTATCTACTCGCCATAACTGACGAGCCGTTTGAGTTCTTACCGGAGTTTTCAGTTTTGGGGGCTTAGGATGTGCGGAGACTTTAGTTTTTGGTCGGGATGTGGCACGTGAGTTGGGTAGTGGGGCATTAGCGGCTTATTCGCAAAAGGCATAGGAGACTTTATCTTATTTATTGTTTTTGTTTTAGGTGTGTGTGTATTTACTTGAGTTTTTTGGGTATCACCGGTTGTGTTTGAGTTGAACTCTCCGTATGGAGTGTTTTGTCCCCTTTTGTGGGATTTTCTTTTGGTTTTTAGTTGACCTCCCTTAGTAGTCTACGTAAACCCAAGTAGATGTGTATCCAAAATTATTTCCTATTTCGAGATGATAAAATACCTACTATATTTTTTTGGGGGGAAAAAAAACCCTAACTAGTAGCATGTGTTTTAGCAACCTACCATCATAGACAAAGGCATCTTCACTTGTAATCACTTCCCTAGTCAGTCAGCTGTAGGTACTATTATCAATTGACTAATGTTGCTTAATTGCATCTCACCTTTTGACTAATGTTGCTTAGGTGCATCTTTCTCGTACACTTCAAAACTGTTAAATGTATAATTTTGGTATATCATACCATTCACACAGAAGAGCCATATCATAAACATTGATACAGAAGAGTTATACTGACTTTCGATGGCGACTATCTTTCATCATTTGATCTGTAGCAATGTCCAGTGAATTTCTTCACTCCACCCCTTGGACATTGTCCCTAAGGGAGTTTTAACTGGTTGATCAACACACAAACCGCACATAGGGTCGAATTTGCAGCAGTTACTTGGACTAGGCGACAAACAATCACCAAAGGAGAAGTCTAAAAAGGAAACAAATAACCCCCTAAGCTATAATCACCTTCATTCTCTTTTCGAGGACTATACTATTATCCTTTCATTTTATTTCAAATTTCTAAAGAGAAGGCCACCATCAAACATGCATGAATAAAAATAGCCACAGCTAGGGCTGAGCAAAACAGAGCCGAACCAAAAAATCGAACCGAACCGATGTATTCGGTGCGGTTCGGTTCGGTTTTCGGTGCGGTTAGAATTTAGGAAAACCGCAAAAAATTTGGTGCGGTTCGTTTTTGTGTCCGAAGGGTGCGGTTTTAACCGACCGAACATGTTAAAATGCAATTTTTTTGTACAGGTAATTGGGCTGTAGGTAAGCTTTTGTTTTTGACATTTGGGCCTTTGGGTTTGGGGCCTATGGCCGTTTATAAATAATAAAACAATGCTAATTACCAATTAAACAAACAATTTAAGAAAACTAAAAATTCTATTTCTTAAATTTTGCCTGACCTTCATTTTTGTCAATCTCACGCATCAGGCATCTGCATCTCAACGTCTTTCTATCTCTCTCGTCGCTCTCCCTCAGCTCAGCCCGCTCTTCGTCACCGGCCTCAATTTAAGTCAGCTTTCAGTCTCTCTCAATCTTCTTCTTTCCTCTTCCAATCTGCCCCCTCTTTCTTCACTGTGACCAAGAACCCTAATTTTGTCTTCAAATTGATTTTTTTTGCTGAGTGATCTTCAAATTGATTTTTTTTTTCGAGTCTTGTGCCTATCTAGAGTTCACGCGCATCGCATCCACTTTCTACAGCTTGACTCAGCCCTCAAATTGATTTTTTCTTTTGGTTTTTAGTTTTTTGCGGTTTAACCGAAACCGCACCGAACCAAACCGAAAATTTCGGTGCGGTTTTGGTTTGGTTTTTCCTCCAAACTCAGTGCGGTTCGGTTTGAAGAAATGTATATTTTCAGTTTTTGGTTTTTTCGGTTCGGTGCGGTTTTTCACCGAACCGCACCGATGCTCACCCCTAGCCACAACTTAATTCCTAAAAGAGCTTTCATCATCAATAATTAGCAACATTTGTTTTTTCTTCCTACAAAGCTGTGCCAGAAGTCTAAAAACGCTTTCCCTGCCCAGTCCATAAACTTAACCCATGAATTTTTCCGACATAAGTCCTTAGCACTTAATACATAAAAAGATAACCCACAACAATACATAGACAGACCAAAGCTTCGGAAACAAAATCCTAGGTTTTTATATGTTTATACCGAGAAGCCAATGATAAAATTATCCAGTGTTACTCCCCAACATTCACTAGCTCGTAATCAACAAGTGAGAGATTGTTGTCGGCTTTTACCACAAAGGCAGCAGGTTCGGTGACCTCAATGCGGCCCCACTTGTCAACAGCCAGCCTCATGTTCTTCCCCTTGTACATGTCAATCTTTGCATTTCGGATGATAACAGTATTTCCAGGCTTCATCATATCAACTGATGACGAAAAATAGACACGAATGAGAATAAACTCGAAAGTGCATTTTTCTCATATAACACAAAAAAAAATAAAAAAATAAAAAAAACTTTGACAAGTGGGGTTTACCAGCACAACAACTAAAGAAACAAGATGGAGTAAAGACCGAGACACAGAAAAGCCCATTATAAAAAATCTCGTGTACTTTCAAAGCAGTATAGGCAATTGCAAACGATGAATATTATTAGTTCAAAATACGTAGACTGGAACAAAACAAAAGAAGCTACAGGCTTAAGACATGTACATATTGATCTCAGGTTCCAACAAACAAGTCCGTCATAGACTCGTAGTGAAGTCTATTTTAAATGTAAAGTCCCCAGTAAAATGCAATGCTTTTTCAGACTTTCAGTCGAGAAAAACAACAAACTGCAGAAAGTCAATCATGCTGGGAAATAATACAGTCAAGGCCTCCAAACCATGTAAAACGGCTTTTCTAATTAAGCAGCTCTGTATTTTCCACAGATTCCATTAATGGTCTGCAGCATAAGAAATTGTGGCCACCTCCCAAATGGCCAGCGCTAATTTGTGTTAGTATCAGAGGAGCCCTCATCGATTTCATCCTCAAAGCACCATCTCCATTTTTGCAATAATAAATCCCCAACCAGGATTAAAATATAAGAAAAATTCAGCAAAACGTTTTTACGAACAGCAAATCACAAATTTCAACCTTCGGAAACCCTTTTTTAATTCAACATAACATCACATGATCACAAACTACCCATCAATTAACAGGACATAATCATTATCTAAACTTTATTAAGTACATAATAATAAAGCAGCGAGTTACACTCCAAGACGAAACCTTTATTGGGATTCTTTGCAAGACAAACGGAAACAGACACAGGCCCTCAAAAAAATATGAACAAATAAATAAAGCACACACCCAATATGTGTAATATCGGATGAATAAAAAAAAAAAAAAAAATCACCAAAATTCCACACAAGACACATCATTTCCCCACCTAGGCCCTAACTTCTACAGATTTCTCACGCATTTTTAACACAACAAGCAGCATACCTTGTTCGTTGCGGGCGGTGAAGAGGATGGAAGCCGTCTCGTCGCCGACGAGGCACTCAGCAACGCGGATGCCGCGAGGGTGCGGCGACACGGCGGCGCCCTTCTGCACCACGGTCTCGGAGTTGACCACCTTCGCCACCAGAGTGTGGCCGTTGGTACCGGGCTTCAGGCTTTCCACCTTCACGAACGTCGGTTTCCTCAAACTCCGGCCACCATTATCCGCCATTTTTTTTCCTGACTGCGGGTAGAGGAAAAGCCCTAGCTAGTGTGAGAAATTGTGTTGCGCGCTTGTACGATGACTTTTGGGCGTGATTTTGGGGGGGTTTGTTATACATTTCATTTTATCCAAATTTGAGTTGGGATCCACTGAGCGTGGGCTCACCGAAGGGGACTGAGTAATCAGGGCCATCAGGCCATTTAGATTTCGCCACGTGTTATTAGTTTGGAACAAGGCTGCCACTCCATTCGCTACATTGTTTAAATTTTCATTGAAACCATTTTCGATTGACAATGTAGTTGTAGAGTTGTAACATAACTTCACACCAATTTTTATATTACCTTTTTTTTTTNCAAATTAATTTACAATAGAAGAAAACAAAATTGGAAGCCGTCATTCTTTTTCGATCCTTTTTTTTTAACAATAAAAACATGTTAATCGCAAGATGTATGCATACAAAAAATTTCAAAAAAAATCTAACATTTTTTTTTGGTACAATGAAGAAGGCCCGAAGCCTAGACTAAGACTTGTCGGGGGGAACGAACCCCCATAGAATCGTGTTCAAGCCATTCCCCAGCACCAGGAGGAGGAGCCGTGAGCCGCTGCAAACCGACCGGGAAGGAGGCCGCCATTTTCGCTAGATGATCCGCCGTGAAATTTGCCTCCCTATGCACATGCTGAATATGCTGTCCAACCGGTTCTAACATTTTAACTCAATGTTAACTCAACTCCAATATCATCAATATAATTAAATAATATCAATAAATTATTCATACACACCACATCAACCTGAATTCACTATTCCTCTATTCACATTATTTTAACTAATCATCACTTCAAATCATCTCTCCTACTTTTACATCAAAATTTTAATTATTTTATTTTAAATATTTTTAAATATACCCCATAACAACTAACCATAACACCTTTTTTAACATTAGTCAAACCAAACCAAAAAATCCAACACCACCCAAATTTTTTATATCCAAACATGCTCTTAATTTTCACAAAAGCTGTATAATATTATCAAATTATTTTTCAAACTTGGTTTACTGAAAACACACATTAACAAATATCAAGAGAGGGAACAAACTCTCATTTTCAGCATCAAGCCATCAACTTTCAAATCCGCACAACAACGCAAATACGAATAGTATCCTATCCTCACTCATAAGGAACTGGAAACCTTTGTGTTTCAGGCCCAGCAACCATGTCTTCCCACAGCAAATCTGAAAGTGCCATTGTCACCTCTCCCACCTTACCTAAATTCATTCACCAAAAAAAGGATGATAAAAGAAAATACATTATTATTAAAAAAAAATCAAAAACAAAAAAGCTAACAAGATCCTACTCACCATCCCCAATAGCCTCCCCATCCCACTCCACAACCGGCAGCACGGGCAGCGTGCTCCCGACGAACATCATCTCAGCCGACCCCTTCGCCTCCTCTGCCCTCAAATTCCGAACCCTCACTCCCATCAGCCGCCCTTCCCGCACCATCCCTCCCGCCAGCTCAACCAGCCTCCGGGCCGTGCACCCCGCCAGCACCTTCTCGAACGGCGGCAAAACGAGCTCCCGCTCACTCGTCACGAACGCCACGTTCATATTCGGGCCCTCGGCCACAAACCCTTCCCCGTCCACCCACACCGACTCGTGGGCCCCACGCCCCTCGGCCTCCATCTTCGCCAGCGCGTTCGGGAGGTAGTTCACGGTCTTCGCCGTGGCGAAGAGTGGGGGCTTCATCGGGACTCCCGACGTAATTACGCGAACGCCCTCGCGGCGCGGGGAGAAGTCCTCGTCGACAACGACCGCATAGAATGCCGGGCTCGGGCAGCCCGCCGGAGACAGGAGGAAGTCGCCGGGCCCCACGCTCAGCCAGTACCGGAGAGTGCCCTTCCGGCAGCCAGAGGCTGCCGTGAGCTGGACGAGGATGCGTTTGAGAGAGGATTGGGAATATGAGTGAACGATTTTGGCTTTCGACGCCGAATGCAAAAAACGGGCGAGGTGGGCTTCAAGCTCGTACAGATACCTGTGATGATATTATTCTATGAAACTACAATCACTTCACATTGTAATCAATCACTATGTAATTACCCGTTGAGAATAATGGCTGTGTCAAAGACACCATGACCACGGTGGACCATGTGGTCGTCGATCGGGATAACCATCATTGCAGGGTCCAATGTGATTCCACCAAATATGCTGGAATACATTGCTCGATAGTGTTTGGGCTTGTTGTACCAATTTTGTTGCAACTTAGAGAGCAACTAAAAAGAAAAGGAACAAGAAACATTTGTACAGAATAAGCAGAGATGTTTAGGATTTATATCCTAGATTGTAATAATATTGTGAAAGAAGACAAGATCGATGAATCCACGACAAATTATGCATACAATAATTTGAGTTTAAACTTTTAGAGAAACTACAAATGCATCAAAAGTAGGCTGACTGGAATATCGTTTGGTGTTCAATGTAACTTACTTTTTAGACCTTATGGTTCTGTATTGCCACACCTCTGTAATAAGATAGCATTTCACACGAATGCCGGCAGAACAATGATAAGAGACAGTAATAGAAACCATAGTCACACAGGCATAGCTAAGATTGAACATTGTTCATAACTTCGTTATAACACAATACACCAAAATTATCAGATACCACTCAAGTAAGTGCATATATTTCAAACTCTGGACATAATTGACTGATTTATTGGAGAACAAATAAAATAACACGCAACAAAGTCGATTATTCTATGAAACTCATCTTCGAGCTAAGCGTTCTAACACAGACCATTAAACCAAATTCAGGATCAATTTTAAAACCAAGTAACTGTAAAAACCACTCATATCTTCATAATCAGAGCTAAATAGAAGTAAATGGGCCTCAAAAGGACTAACATCAATCGACGACGAGAACACTGGGACTTTGAATTCTTCACCGTCTTCCACCTGTGGCGCCGTCACTGCGTATCAAGAAGAAATATCCCGATTAATTTAATACGGTGTTGTTTATGTTCAAGTAATGTTATAAAATACGACGAAGTTGGGGGAAATTAGGTTACCGGAATTTTCTGTGCAAGAAGATCCAGATGCTGCCATTACACCGGAAGAAAAAATAGCAGAAATTCAGCATAAAAAATATCAGGATAACGAAAATGTGCAGAAATGAAAGTGCATATATATGTTAGAAATTGGAATTTTCGATAATTCGATGTATAATAATAGTATCGATTAAGCTTTGGATATTTCGAAAAGTGGATATCCGAGTCGAGTCGGATCGAATAGTTGATGATTGAGCTAGTTTTGTTTACATTAGCCGGCTCTCTAAATGTGTGAAAATTCGTTTCATTTTGTTTAACAAACATAAAATTATAAATGAGTTGGTAAGTTCGATTCGATAGTTTTATTTAAAACCATAAAACTATAATTATAATAATAAGTGAGTAGTTTGTGAACAAATACAATCTCAATTCATTAACGAATTTCACTAGTTGTTCTAGCTTTAATTCGTTTAAGTAAATGAACGAGTAGAACTCCCGCTTTCACAAGTCGATTTTACATTGACAATGTGTTGTTTTGATGTTTGGCTTTTGATAGGTGTACAATTTGTTATTATGCTTTGCTAGTTAAATTTTCACATGCTTGTTTTCATGATTGTTCGCTCAATTACAATACTTCTAAATTGTATTGCAGTCTGGAGTCATACAGTTGTGCTCGGGACTCGTAATGTAGATCAAATTCTCAAAGCCCTATTTTTTTCTGCATGTTCCTAAAATTTGAGCACTCTTAGAAATAGCAAACATCGTACATCTCCTTTCATCTCAAGACATCGATCACGATGGTGATATAAGAGGAGCTATATCAACCACAATACGAAGGGTAAGAAGAAAATTTTGTCGATTTTGGAGGAAAATGGAAACAAATAAACTGATCGTCCATGAGAGGTCAACAACAACAACCATGTGTATCCCTTATTGAATACTTGTTCGTGTTGCTGCTGGCTGTTCGAGAGAAAACAAAGGATGATATTTGAAAAGAGTTTTTGAGAGTATTCATTTGGGCAGAATAATGGGAAGGAAAAAATTGCCTGAAGGATCGACCATGACGCTTTTTTCCTTTGATTTTGATAGGAATGGCTGGACAAAAAGATCATTGGAAGGTACTCAGTGCTCATATTTTGTTTGTGAAAAAGGCTATAGAGGTTGTGAGCATATATCGAGGGAGATCATTGGCTAGTAACCCTTGATGGTCATCTTCTTTCTAGCGCCATTTTGTGGACACGAGGAGTCACCACAATTAATGATTTTATATAATATTGAATTGTTTCTTTATATAAAAATTGAGTGAACATAAAAACATGAAACTATATCAAGAAAGAGAGATCACCGATTAGTAGAAGAAGATCGACATAAAGACTAGCTGTAAGAGATCGAGAAGAAGGACGTAGCAGTGTTTTTCTTTAATGAACTTGAAATGTCTATTCTAAAGCCCGAAAGACCGAATATATACATAAAAAAAAAAGTAAAAAAGTAATGATGGTTGTGTGGCAACTAAGGGTTTAAGGGAGTAACCCGTGCCCCTATGCAAAATCTCGTCTGCTGGGGATGGGTACGATTGGACGGTCGCTTTATCAGTTTACTGTATCAATTGTTATTTCATACTACAGAGAGATCAACAAAAATCAGCAAAAAATGTTTTTTCAAGTGGATCAACGCTTCAGCTAGAAATGAGATCGACGCATGATAAGTTGTGTGGGTCTTTAGGCTTCTTACCATAATTTGGGCCAGAATTGTCATGGGCCTATTTTTTATCGTGAGAGGCGTACTTCTTTATCTAAAGGATCGACCCAATACGTGAATGTGTAATATGTAATAATTATGTACGACAAGAAGACCCCCTCGATTTATCGAGAGCACGTGGGTTTGGCTGATCGACATGCTTTGGGAAGCTGTTTGCCAATTTGTGGAACTCCTGGTGGTTCTTACATGTGAGATTATCCACAAAGATCTTCATATCTTCCGGAAAGTAAAGAGTGTTGGTTATGCCTTTTGGGAATAGGACATGATAAGGTGACTTTTCGACTAGCGTATTTAATGAGGTGAGATAAGATGGGATTTTTGTTGTGGGGAGAGCTGCGTCTTTTCGGGAATGAAAAGACATGTTCTGGTGTAAGGAGGCGTTGATTGATAGCTTCCGACATGAATCGATGTGATTGACTTGATCGCTGCGTTGCGTGTCTTTTAACGCGACTGATTGCAATGATGTAAAACTAAGACCACTCTTTTAAATAGAAAGTTTAAAAGAATTTGTAATCTTTCACATCATCTGATTATATTATTTGCATATGTGCATATACATATGAATAAGTAATAGAAGTAATATATGGGTAAATGAATTCAAACCGAAATTGAACTCTATGATAAATTTCAAGAATCAAATTTAATTATCAATAACCTACTTGGTAAATTATGAACGTATAGAAATGACCCAATGGTCCCTTTTTTTCACCCTTCCTTTTAACTTGTACAACAAAACGTAAGCAAGTAAGCAAAAAAGACTAGGTGACCACATTTGGGCAGCTGCAGAGATTTGGGAGTTGGGCATCATTATCAACTTCCAAAATGCTTGCACCCTTTAGGCAATGGCAAATCGGCGTGCCCATTTCTTACATCATCACACTCCTTTTTTTACAGCCTACCTTACAGTAACTGTGCCGCTGATGTTCGCTGTAATAATTATTTTTTACATGGCTCGATGTGTGATCTCTGTGCACGGCCCATTTCGGGCCCCATTCATTTTTTTCACTTTGATGATTCGAATAAACAATCGGCTTGGGTGATAAATTGATAATGGGAATTTTTATTCGATTAAAATAAATTACAATACCTACTTTATTTGTAAATTTAACAGACTTTTAATTTTGGTTATTTAAGTCGCAANTTTTAGCAAATTGGGACACGGACCAAAGTGAAAAACTACAATATTTCATCATTTCGTCATACTGGTGTAATAGATGAATTGAAATAATAATTTATTTTTAGTGCAAGTAATTCAAAAATATTGTTTTGTAATAAAATTTTGTGCTTAAATTATAAATAAAGTAAATGTGCATGGTGCTTTGTTTTGTAATTTTGCCAATTTTTATTTATATTTATTTATTTTATTGTAAAACCTAATAAACAGCAAGGTAGCTTTTCTTTTCCTTTTTTTCTTCTTTTTTTTTTAGAGAGTGTAAAACATGATAGAAAAAAGTATTAGTAAAATTCTAAAACAATAAATATGAATTGTCGTGCCTATATAATGAATGATGTGACGAAATATAATTATTGTATGCTTATTTATTCAGTACTAATAATCATATCAGCCATTAAAACGTTAGCCGAATTATTAATTTAATCTACTTAAATCTTCAATGACCTCCTTACACGTCCTACGTACCTAGACTTGTTTAAACTTTTGAACTTCATGATGAATTTATGAACTGTGCACTTTCAGTTTCTCAAAAGTATTCATTATGCATGAATCAACAATCACTATTAATACCCTCATTCTCATGGAACCAAATGCACAAATATTCCATAACAAACCTGATTTCCTTACATCATTCTTGTTATAAAGAGCAAAAGGTGAACAAAAATGGAGACTAAAAACTGCTGCACCGGATGTGCTGGAATTGACGATAATTACAATTGTTTGAACCATGGTCAAAAGGCAACTGTGTATCCTCTTGCAAATGTTAAGCCTGAGACCAACGTGAAAAACGAGGGCAAAGCGAAAACTACTGTTACCGGATTTACTGCAACTGTTAAAAAGGAAGAGCTCGTCAAGGTGAAGGCAGCCGCACACAAGTTTAATTAATTACTAGGCATGCATGAATGAATGATTTGAAGTAATAATGTTTTTATTTTATGGTTTATGTTTATGGTGTCCAATGGTATTATACCGAATAAAGTTTGAATATTTATAAATTATTAATGGTATGATCTTGTCTGTGTTTTCAATTTATCTTTATTGTTTTTTATTCTTTTCTTGTTACATTGTCTAAAAACAATATTTTTCTAATACTCAAAGCCGTTAATTTGGCACATCAAGTCCATTAATTTCCATAACAAATAGTACATTTTTTCTGAGTTCACCATGAATTCATTATTGCATAAACATTGCACGAGGTCCATTATTATTTTCCTTACATATATTGTCCAGATTTTGAGCTTATCTTGATTTGAATATAGTAATTAGAGTCTTTGATCAAGTTTAATTCAAATATCAACAATCAATCAATTGAAATTCAAGCCCTAATTCGACCACATAATATTTGTCACAATTAGATTTGAACAATTACACATGGCATATCAACCTCAAAAAACTGCAACATTAAAAATATTCTTGTTCTATAGAGTTAACTCAATTCGACTCTACGTATACCCTATTCCCAAACATCGGATATAGAAAAAGCTGGGTAGCAACAATCATACGAAAATTAGAGCTTGGCTATCAGTAATAGTACAAAAGGCAATATCGATCATCCACAATAGCATTCAACCATAGTCCATTACACACTAACAAAAGCTATTACATAACGAAATTAAGTTGGCAACCACAAAGTCTTTGAAACAAACATATCATTAAGTAGTCCACATGCTATCAAGCTTGTCATCGACTGCGGGCCATATTCTCCCATTCCTCTCAAGCCCGGCCCACTGTCCCATGGGCCCATAACCAAACACCGATGCTTCAGAATGGCCACTCGCTGGAGGGCCATAAACCACCGCACTCAGGTCTGAGGATGGCGGCTGAGGGAAATCAAAGAAGGAACTTGTGGGAGGTGCTGATGTGGAGAAACAGGGCACGTGCTGCTTGGAGCTGGTCGCGGGACTAAGCCAGCTGTCAAAGTCAATGCCGGACGATGGGTTTGACTTTGGCGCTGAGTTGACTTCAGACCGTTTCTTGGTGTTGCTGCCGCCGCCGCTTGTGGCGGTGGAGCTGCCGGAACCCGTCTTTTGGAACACTCGGGAAATTACCCACTCGTCCTAAAAAAATTGTAAAAATAGTATTTTGGATTATATTGATTTAATATTACAGCCTATATATATACTAGTTTTTTACCTGTGTTGTTAGAAGTGAAGTGAATTGGTGGTAAACAATACTGTACGAAAATATATAGTAAAATTGTAGTGTAAAAGAACTTGGCTTGGCTAATGTAAGGTAACATCAAAAGCTCATTCAGTGAAACAACAAAGTGAAGGAAAAGAGAGAGAAGGGTAACATCAAGAGCCATAATTGCGTGCAAGCATAAAAGTCAACTGGCCTGTACAGACAACTCAGGAGATGGGAAAAGCAACAAAGCAATGACACATGAAGATTTGACAATTTTTCTTTTTATCTTTAAAAAAAATACTATTGTATATCATAAACTGAACAGTGTGTAAAATCAGGGTGATTTTATTTTTCCTCAAACTTCACAATTCTATGAATGTACCATTAATCTGCAAGAGTTAGGCAGTGTAGTATATGACTATGGCAAAAGCAGTTTTTTACATACCAAAGATCATAATATACGAATAATTAAAAATGCATATTACACTCTTGTTCTTCTACCACGGAGATTAATATGTCTACACAATAAATAAAGTAAATGAAAAATCACCAAATCGTAACACAAGAATACACAAAACACGATTCAGTGTGTTCATAATGGATATATGTGTAATTTTGTCTGGTCGGATTAAAAGTTTTACATAAATCATAATTTTATTTTATTATTATTATTATTATTATTTTTTTGTTTCGTTTCCTTCTTCCATCACCTGAATGATAAAAAATTCACATGTTTTAACAACTATAAGCTATAATTTAAATCACACATATATACGCATCAATCTTATCAAGCACAAAACATAATTAAAAAAAATAAAAAAATAAACAAGAAGCGAAACTCATACCTCAGACTTTGTAGAGAGGTAGTGATAAGCAAGCTTGCCGTCGAGTCGAAACTCGTGCATGACCCAATTAGTCTTATCGCCCTTGGGCGCCCGACCCGTGTAGAAGACTAGGGTTTTCTTCATACCCACCAGCAAGCCCGTTTTGGAGCTGTAGATCTCCCGGTCCTTTCCAGTCGCCTTCCAGTAACCCGCTTCGGTCGCCCGGTTCGTCCTCAGACCGGTCGGGTACTTCCGGTCCCGTAGGCTGTAGAAGTACCACTCCTTCTCCCCCATCTTCGCCTTGCCTGCCACAAGGAAAAAAAAAAAAGGCAAAAGTAAATAAAAACGCGCTTTTTCTAAAAGAGAAGAAAAACGTGTTTTATGAGGCACCTGGAAGATGCCATGGCTCGCACTTGTTGAGATCAACCTCGGCAATGGCACGGCAAGTGAAGTTGGAGTGGAGAACTTTCTTCAATAGGTAGTAAGTTATTAATTCTTCGTCGGTGGGGTGGAATCTGAAGCCCGGGGGCAAATGGGGCTCGTGGGATTTCGCTTGGTAGCACGAGAAATTAATGTTGCTGGCCATTTTTTTATTTTTTTGATTGTAAAAAGGCTACTTTTTATTTTATTATTGCGTGCAATGGAGAGAAAAAAAGGGAGAAATGTGTGCGGGTTTGGTTGAGCAACGGGTTGGTTTGTTGGGTTGATCCATGGGAGAATTATTAGGGGAAAACGTACGGCAGGGCTATGGATGGATGATGTATGTACGTCATATGTGACGTGTCTTTGTGTGGAGGATGTGATTTATTATTATTATTATTATATTATTATTATTATAATGGTATTATTGTTTATTATTTTGTTTTTTCAAGAATTATGGGAATGTGAGTGATTTGAAAATTGAGTAAATTGTGAGTTATGATAATTGAACATGTCATCAAATCCGTTAAAACTATTGGTAAAATGATCCATTTTGGATCGATTGGACTGAAATTTAATATTATTATTTTTAAACACATATGACATTTATATAATAACATCTATATATAAAACTTTGTTAATTAATATAAAGCTAATTTAAATATTTAAATACTTAAACTAACTAATAATTACCGATATATATATATATATACTATATTTAAATATGTATTTTGTATGCATATTAAGAATATTTTTAGTATATTAAAATATATTTTGAAAAAAATTGGGCTAGGGTCAAATTGATCCGATCGGACTGATTTATGGCTTGTTCAGACTGCTTTAATCGGTTCAACTGGTCGTTGAGAGAATGCTTGGATACAAAACTTATTCAAAAAAATCCAAACATGTTTTACTCAACCATTTTTTTTAACTCGACTTTAACTCAACTCAACTATCATTAATATTATTAATACAATTAAATAATATCAATCAATCATTCTTATACATTACATCAACCTTCATTCACTATTCATCCACTCACATAACTTTAACTAACCATCACTTCAAATTATCTCTCTCATACTTTTACATCAAATCAACTTTAATTATTTTATTTTAATATTATTTTAATATACCCACTAACAACTAACCATACTACTTTTTTCAAAATTAACCAAACCAAACCAAACAAATCCAAAAATTCAAGCATCCTCTGATCGATTCGCTAGTAACCATTTCATTCCAACGAGTAACTTATATATATAAAAAACAAAAAAATCAAGTGGATAAAAATTAAAAAAAAATATCTGCACAAAACTCAAAAGTCATATTCTTATAATACGTTTTTTTAATTAAATTTAAAAAAAAAAAATCTTGATGGCAGCCATGCCATTTGGCCAAGTTATGGTTAATATACACAGTGTTTTTGAGGTGAAAAACTCCAGTTTGATTACTCCACTTTGATTTTAACTTGTTGCGCTAGAGATGATAAACAGTAAAAACACATAGCGCAACCATGTAGTTTAATTTGCTATGAACTATTGTTTTTTGACTTTTTTCTTTCTCTTTTTTTCTCTTGCATTTATGATGCCGTTAAATCTTTTAGATGTTATAGCTTTATTTAACATATCAAATTTTGTTAGTAAAATATTTACACACAAGTTTGATTGTATTCAAAATAAAACAAGTATAAATAAATAAAAATACATTCCAAGTTTGGTTGTACACTATCATTTCCATTTTTGAATGCTTCACTATGTGTTATTCAGCTATAAGTACAACAATTTTAGGGTGTATTTGTAAACCAATAAATTCAGTCAAAGTGAGTTATTTAGTTAACTAGGGTTACTTTAGAAAAAAGTGATATAGTTAATTGTCAGTAGAATTTTGAGTTTATATTACAAATAATATTTAAAATAAAATAATTAAAGTTGATTTGATTTAAAAATATGAGATATATGATATGAAGTGATGATTAGTTAAAATTATGTAAGTTGATGAATAGTAAATTAAAGTTGATATGATGTGTTAAAATAATTAATTGTTATTATTTAATTATGTTGATAATATTGAGAATAGTGGGTTTGAACTAAAATTGTGTTGTTATTTAATTATATTGATAATATTAAAAATAATAAAATTGAATTAAAGTTAAATTAAAATTTAACTTTTAAGTTAGAATTGAGATATTTGATTTAGGCACACTTACTAGTTTTGAGTTGTATGCAAAATTTACCATAAAATAGTGTTAGAGCTGCCTCTACGAAATCGCAATGTCAACAACAAAATGGATATTGAGAAAAATAAAAACTAAAAATATCTCCGACAGCTTGCATTTAATGTAAGGGCGAGAGAAGGTAGAAAAGTAATAATTCAATTTTNTGATGGTGTAATATATATATATATTTTTTTTTAATTCAATTTTGTTGTGGAACACTTCAGATGACATAATTTATAAAATTATTCATAATTATTTAAAAATAATGTATTTCAATAAATACAAGTTATGATGACTTTATGAGGAAGTCATTCTCTTGATCTTTAGAATTTTTCATATTAAATATTTACAATTTTTTAAAAATAATAAAAAAATTAAAATTGTAAATATAGTATATCTTGCAAAATATGTTTTTCCCCATAATAATTCTTGGATAGTGTAGATACTTGAGTGAATTAAAAAAGAAAAAAAAAATCAACAAAAATTATAAAAGGAGCAGTTTAGATAGCGAGGGCCCCTTGAGGGAAAAAATGAAAGTGGAAAAGAGGGAGATTCATCATAATTTCACCATAGATCGATAAAGCTGGTTCACATCTTATTATGTCAGAACAGTAGAATTCGACTACAAGATTAGTTAATAAAATCGTGTGGACAGAGACAACACCTATATTATACATATCCATGTTTTTTTCAATAACAATTTATTTTCTTTTATTTTTTATTTTAATATTTTAACTTCTGTACACATCCTATGCTATATTGCTATGCTACTTAGTCCTCTGTAATATTCACTTTGTCGTCACTTGCTCTCTTTTTAAGCTTTTGTACTCTTTTTTGTCTTTTTTTGTTTTTTTTTTTTTTTGGTACAATAAGGGAGGCCAAAGCCTATTTGCGGGATATTAAGGTTTGTTGTGGATAAACCATTCCGACAAGATCATGCTCGAGCCATTTTCATACTTCCTCTGGCGAGCTGCTCAAACTTTGAAAGCCTCCAGGTCCACGTGCAGCAATAGCCGCCATGCAATCGGCGACTGAGTTGGCTTCCCTATAAATGTGACCCACTCGCACGTTCCACCCTCCATTCAACAACGTCTTGATACTCCGTATTAAAGTCGTATGTATTCCCGCATCCACCTCCTCCTCTTGAATCATAGAAACAGCACAAAGGCTATCAGATTCAACAATGACATTACGGTAACCCCTCTCCCACGCCATGCGAATACCTTGAAAAATCTCTCATAACTCGGCCACCGTAATCGAGCATAAACCGATATTCATAATAAACCCCTCAACCCATCTACCCGTATGATCTCGCAACACACCCCCAGCACTAGCCATGCCGGTAGCCGAATTAAATGAGCCATCGGAGTTTATCTTTACCCAATTCTCTGGCGGGAACTCCCACTTGACATAGATCCGCTCACGTCCAACTCCAACTCCTCCAATCCTTCGTTCACCTTCTATTGTCGCACGTACCGATTTGCTCCACCATGCTACTTCCCGAAGAACTCCACTGCCATGGACACTTTGACCTTGGAAAATTCTTCAATTCCGGTTAATCCAAATTCTCCAGGCTGTCATTCCAAAAGTCACTTCCCAATCTACAATATGGAAACCCAAAGCATTAATTAGGTTCTGGAATAACCAGTCTTCCAGATTTAATGATGTGAAGCCGCACAATTGATCTGCCGATATAAAATGCCGCCAAATCTTCATAGCAATCGGACAATCCCTTAGTACATGTAGGATAGTTTCCTCCCCTGTGCAGCAAGCATCACATGTTCGATCTGTAGTTAGGCTCCGGCGATGACGTTCAACGTTGGTTAATAAACGGCGTCGCCTTACTAGCCACAGAAAATGTCGGACTCTCTAAGGGCCGCTCCATGCCCAGATCACTCTCCAAAGACGTTTATGTGCGTGTTCTTCCACCGACAACAAGCTATCATATGCCGATTGAGTAGTAAACTTGCCATTAGATGATAATCCCCAGTAAATGTTATCCTTCTCCCCAATGCGAGGTGGTAGGATTGCTGCTATCCTCAATAAAGCGGTAGCGGAGATAAGGTGAGAGAAAAGCTCCCGATTTCCACTTACCCCGGTCGTCCACAAATTTATCAACCGTGTCATGTAACATCTCTTCGGGAACCGACGAAGTGGCATAATTGATCAGCGGTCCCGAACAATTTATCCAACAGTCCCACCAAAAGCTTACCCTACTCCCATCTCCCAATGACCACCTAATTCCTTTTGATAATTTATCCCACACTTTGCCCACTGCTCTGATTACTGTCGATCCTTTAGGACGCTCAAAGCCAACCAGCAATTCCCACGGGGTCAATTTATATTTTTTCTTTAAAAGCTTGACCCATAGCGCCTCATCTTTTTGTAACAGATTCCATCCAAGCTTCATAAGCAAGGCCTCATTCATTAATTTCTGTTTTTTCAGCCCCAAGCCGCCATATTCTTTCGGTTTGCAAATCGTACCCCAATCCACCAAGCTAATTTTCTCTGTGAACCCGTACATACCCATATAAATTTTTGACATTTTTTTTCCAGCTCGTCGCACACAAAAGTCGGGATCATAGTGGCTTGCATTGTGTAGAAAGGAAGGCATTTCACTACCGATTGGACAAGGGTAACTCTACCCGCCATCGAGAGGGATGCAACTTTCCACCCCGCTAGTCGACTCTCCGCTCTTTCTAGGATTCCAGAATATGTTTCCTTTGTAACCCTCTTATGTACAAGAGGAACACCGAGATATTTACCAAGATCGGAAACTTCCATAAAACTGAGCATATCACTCAACCTCTGCCTCTTGTCCATTTCAACATTCTTTGAGAAAAATATCCGCGTTTTGGAATTGCTTACCTTAAGTCCAGAAATATCACAGAAGGTGTTCACAGAGAAAATTACCTTAAGCCATTATTTTTAACACATGTCAATTAGTGATTGTAATGTTAATCCATATTGGAATAATGTTAAAAGACTAAAAATTTCAATGAAACTAGTATCTCCAATGCATCAATTTGATAAGAAGTTATTTGTATAGGTGGACCAATTAAATAATTCATTGATATAAAAAAATAAAAAATTAAAACAAATATAAAGTAAATTGATGAGTCATCATGTTTAACATGGTGTTAGATATTAGAAAGTGTGCTCAACATTGTCAACATTAAATGACATCCACCTCATCATGAAAGAGTTCATGACAAGATGCATTGGAGAAAAAAATAGAGACACACTTTCAAAAGTTGATGATATGGATGACTTTTTATAATGTCAAAAGTTGCATTGGAGATGCTCTTAACCTAACAATCACGGTTAACTAAAATACTAACCAAACAAAATATATACTAGCCTAACAAATAATGCCCACGCACAATAAAACTATCCTAACATATATATTACAATAATTCTAACCAATTAAATATATAATTATTCTAATTAATAAACTAACTAGGAATAGTTCGTCTTTTAGACTCTCGGCCGTCAAGGACTTCTAGAAGCTTCGTCCAATCTTGCCCGTCAAGTCACGCCGACCTTCCTTGCGTCCCAAGCCCCGTCGACCAAAGACTGCTCTCGACTTGGTCCCCAAGACACGCCACCTTTCTTGTTGTCCACGCCACGCCCAAGTTTCTCGCCTTCGCCGTGCGGGGTTCTCAGTCTCAACCGTGCGCGTCTACGTCAATGCGCGTTTTTCGACATTGCTGTCGGGTCGTCTCACGCACATGCTCACACTGCCGAATGCGCACCTTCTCACGTGCCCTCACGCACCTCCATGCGCGACTTTCACTGGCGTGCTCCCTTGCGCTCGTGGCACTCGGGTTCGTCCAGCCTACCCTCGTTAGACCTACTCGTGCCAGGTCTAACCTCATCAGGCCCTTGTGAGCTCTTCTGCCAGGACCCCCTCGTGTGGTTCTTGTGCGATAAGCCCGAGTCCATGCGTGTGTCCTTGCCTTCACTCGGGACTTTCGCCTGTTGCCATGGTTCACTCTTCGGCATGTCGATCACCTCAGCCGCGTATGGGTCGACTCATGTCGCTCTTCTTGTGCTCGTGCGCCTCGCATACGAGTTCGTACTTGTTTTTTTGGCCATGCATGCGTGGTTTTGGCCATTTTCTCGGCCTTCTCGGATCGTCTCGGCCATCGGCTCTCGGCGTGCTCGACCTCGACCGCAACAGTACAATTGTAATGTAAACTCAATAAAAAAACATGTTTTAAAAGGGAGGCGGAGGCTAGATTAGGTGGTCGCAGGCAGAGGCAAAGGCTGGAATCGGTGGTCGCAGACGGAGTGGAGGCCAGATTATGTGGTATGAGGCTGAGGCGAGGAAATGAAGAGAAGCTGCGCGTGCGAGGAGATCAATTCTTATTATTTTCATTATCACTCATTTTCATTTGATCATAGTTATATATGCATACATTATACATATATGTGTGTGTACTTTAGTTCTAATTTTCTCAATGTTTGTAACTTAATAATCAGGCCTAGCCATGTAGATGTAAAGTTTCATTTTGGGCTTGCCAATTTAGTCACGAGCCTCGGCCCATCCCAACTGAAGAAAAAAACGCCGAGCTCTAACTAGTCACGCTTTTAGAAGATCTCGCATAAATGAGATAAGACGACCTATGCCCTTGTGCATCGGATAAGATTTGGGTCATTGCTCATTTCCTTTTCATATTTCATATCGTTTCAAATCCATTTCAGAGCTCGAACTGAAGTCGATGGCCGCATTAATAGCGCCCTGTGTGTCGTGTTGTAGTCTGCCGGGGAAGATGAGGACCCTTTCTCTATCTAGCGCCCCCAATAAGGCGCTCGGCTTTTCATCCACTTTCTCGAACAATTTGTTCTCTAGAGGTGAGACGACAACGGATGTATGTATATGCAATTTTCCTGGACAATTTGCATTCCTTTCCTTAATTGGTCGTCTTTTATGTTTCTGATTTCGTGTTGTACTGTTTTCTTTCTTTAAAATTTACTTTTACTGGAAATGGCAGGTTTGGTTTCTGTGCGCCCAGTGGAGATGCTCCCAAAACGAAGCTCAATTGTGTGCGAAGCCACGCAGAAGAAGCCAGACTCGGCTGCAAAGAGGGCTCGCCAAGCCGAGAAGAGGCGGCTTTACAACAAGTCCCGGAAATCCGAAATCAAGACCCGTATGAAGAAGGTTAGTTAGACCACACTTGCACTATCTAAATTTCAGCTGACACTGTTTTCCTCTGTTTACTACTTTTATATTTGATTTTCTAGAGTTAATGCAGAGTCTGTATTGTATATTTCTGTCTTGTTAATTAATTGTCCAATGAGTGTGTTGGAGTATTAGCTGCTTTGGGGATTTTAGTTGTTTATGGGGGTGGAACGAATTGTAATGAGATTTGGTGCTGTGTTGTACTCTGAGAAGGGCAAAGACATGTTTTACTGATTCGGCTAGATGAGGAATTATTATTTGAACTGAATTGTCCACGAACATAGCTTGGTTCGATTCGTTAAAGCTCATGCTTGATTCGTTTGTATACTTAAAACAGCCGAACTTTAGAAACCAAATGAACTTGTAGATTAAACAAATCCAGTTGAGTTGTTTCGCGAATTATTCGGTTAGAGATTTGGGATTCGGATTTATGGTTTACTAAACGAACTGAGTTGAGCATACACTTGCTGAGATCGAGCTCACTTTTCTTTCTTTTATTAGTTAAATCAGTTGAGCCAAGCTGACTCATTAATTAATTGAGCACAAGTCCACATGAGGTACTCAACTCGACTTGGCTTGAATATCATCTATGGCTAGACGAATATATAAAGAAGTCAAAGTATGAAAATAATTCTCTTAAGCATTTAATGTAACTTGCATGAATCACACACATTATTAGTACTGTAAATGGTGATTTTGTAAAATAAAAATACGGATTATCATGCTTTATAGGTGTGTTTTATTTGGAAATTACACATTATTAACATGAACTCGTGAATTATTAACTACTCTTGGAAGTTGTTCAATATCAACTCTGTTTAACCAAACAATAAAAAATGAAGGACAAAATTGAAGAAAAGGTGATATGTTAAACTATAAAGAAAAATGTAAAGAAATTGAAATTGTTTCTAAATATATAATTCATTCGTTTAACTTTTTTTTTTTTTCCAAAATAAATTTAAAATTACCTAATCTAATATAATATGAGCTATTCTTTTTAACTAATACATTATGCACAAAAATAAAAAACGGGCTGGAGTTTAAGCTATTCTGTGGGTGGCTCCAACCCCGATTCTTAGTGTCGAGCTCAAATTTCTATGTTATACAGATCATGTAAATTCAATTCTATTGTTCCGGGAAAGTATGGTTTGGATAAGAAACTCGAGGCCAGCTCTGAAGACTTGGGGGTATTCCACATAGTTTCAAAAGTTGACTCGTGAGGCCATTCTTGGGTTTAGTGATGGTTTTGTGATCTATTGGTGTAGACTATTATTATTATTATTAGGTATCTTGGAGAATAAGTTATGAATTAAATACTATGATAAGAGATCTTGTGGACAAGATACCTTTTAGGGTTTTGGGTGTCTTATTTAAAGACCCCTCTTCTTTGCAGTGGTTGGTTATGGAATGAAAATAAGATTGTGAGTTTTATCGAGGGAGTATCTCGTTCGTTTATCCTTCCACTTCCCTACATCAGTTAGTATCTCCCGAGGATCCCTTCAATGATTTTCCAACCCCGCACGTCGAGTTAGTATCTCCCGAGGATCCCTTCAATGATTTTCCAACCCCGCACGTCGAGGCTGATCCCTTTGCTGCATACGGCGGCCGTGACATGCGGCGAAAGGTCCCGGTCTTCTGGGACGGCGACAATCAACGCGACGACATAGGCAAGCGCGAGGAGGCTACCTTCGCCCGCGGATATCGTGCCCGACACGCTTGGGGACTTGATCGTGAATATGGTCAATGGGAGGGCCCGTTTCGCGTTGATATCCCCAAATTCGTCAGTGAGCAAGTTGAAGGGCTATTGTACGACGGTCCGCCGATCTTTGATGAAGAGCCTCCGGTGACGGAGAAAAATCTTTGCGGGGACATGGGAATCGTTGAGAATGCAGTTGTCGGCATGGATGGAGATGACCGCAAAATTCGTAGTGGATCGGTATCAATTAATGTAGATTTAGATATTGATGCATCCATTGTTTGTGATTCACATGATATGTGGTATCACGTTTTTTTGTGTCGGATCTAATCCTAAAGGCTCTTGGTTGTGCCCAAGAGTCTTGGTATTTGTTGCTGATGGTGGTGAGACAGTTGTAGTCGTATCCATGTTTGATGAAAATCAAGAGTGTTGCATTGGTTGTGCAACGTTCAACTTTCGTGTTTGATCCGGAAAAACGATGGGGTTTTTTTACCATGGATTCGACACCACACGCCGGTCACGGGAGCACATCGACTTCGAGGGCGAAGCCTTCCGAACCGGGGGAGAATGGTGTAGACTATTATTATTATTATTATTAAGTATCTTGGAGAATAAGTTATGAATTAAATATTATTATAAGAGATCTTGTCTTGGTGGACAAGATAACTTTTAGGGTTTTGGGTGTCTTATTTAAAGACCCTCTTCTTTGTTATTCAGCGGTTGAATATGGAATGAAAATAATATTGTGAGTTTTATCGAGAGAGTATCTCGTTCGTTTATCCTTCCCACTCGTACGCTTCCCTACATCATCTATGTAGGGGTTTGAAAGAACAGTTCCAGACAGACAGGGGGTAGTGTATATGAGTCGTGTTATGGATTTAAGGCATTTCTGATGGTTCTGTGAATTGTTTTGATCCTATTCTCCTGTTAGTGCCCTACTGTTTCCCACTGTGATCTGCGGCATGTGCCCATTCCATTTATATTTTCATGATGAATGAGTAGCAGTTTCATAAGGCTCAATAAAATTTTGCTCAAGTTGATAGTGTAACTAATTATACCATTAACTTATTTAAAAAGTAGGGAACATTTTTGCTGTTTGCTGAGTTTGCATACTTTTGAGGAAGTTCGGAAACGTGAATGTTTATGTGGATCCCGTATAGGAATCTGACTTGCAAACCTGGTCAAGCTAGGAGGAAAAAAAATATAAACGAATGTGGAATATGTATTCCAGAATGGTTATGGTTGTAATCTCGTGTGAGGAGGAAACAAGTGCAGTTTTTTTTATGCAATATTATCTGCATACTGCATCAGCAATTCTCTGACTTTCTTGCTCTTGGTGGTGGTTTTAGATGTTTTGCTCTCTAATCATGAACCAGTTTAAATAGCAGCATAAAAGTGAATATAATGAATTCAAAGTATCAATGAGGGAAAAAAATTAATATAAAAAGCTGACATACTACTCGAATTTTAGATATCCATTCAGTATTATCATGCCTGCGCTGCCATTGTTTAGCTCATGCCAAAATGAAGCATTCCTATGAAAACACTTCATCACTTGTTACTAAAACCATTCCCTAAATAGCTTTATCTAGAAACCCCACAAAGGACCCTCTGAATTTCAAATTCCATAACAACATAAGCTCTGCGTAGTCGATGCATTCCGCTTTATCTTCTTGCTAACGTGTTAAATTAATCCATCATCTTCCCAGGTTCTATTAGCTTTAGAAGTACTAAGAAAAAAGCCCGAAGCCCAACCTGAAGAGGTTCTTCCGATTGAAAAGTTGATAGCCGAAGCATATTCATGTATTGATAAAGCTGTCAAGGTCGGAACCCTTCACAGGAACACTGGTGCAAGGAGAAAGTCCCGCCTGGCCAGAAGAAAGAAAGCAGTCGAGATCAAACTTGGCTGGTACACACCTGAGGCTACAGCCTCCACGGCATAATACGTTTTCCATTTCCTTTTCGTTCTTTTGATGTATAAATTTGCCGTGTAATTCCTATTTTGTTTTAGCTTTGGGACAAAAGTGTGTGATTGTTAGATTGGATGATCTTTTTGTGGACCACATCTTTTTTCGGCCAATTTTTACCGAATCATGAGAAATGTATCCGTTGTATTGATCAATCGTCAGGACCAAACAATTTCGAATCCGGTGATCTAAGATTTAATTTTTATACGTCTACTCGCTAATTAGAATGGGCCCTATTTGGTGTATGATGGGCTTCATGCATGATTGCATAGTTGGTACTTGAATTATATCCGTGAAAATTAGATTTGCATATTCAAGGCTTTAATCAAGCTCAACTTTCATAATTGTTCCACTCATTTCCCGGGATTTTTCAAACAAACTAATCATCATTATTTGTTAAATGATTTTACATGTCCTAATCCAACGAGAGACATACGAGACCTTAATAATAATAATAATAATAATTACAATAATTACTATTATTTTGTTATTATATGTACGAGTGTAGGGTCCAAAAAGAAATAGAAGGAAAAATTAAATTTAATAAAATCAATAATTTATGCAATACTATTTTTCATTATGTGGATAATTTTGATCGCACTTTCCCCACTCATGGTTATAAATAGTTCTAAAATAATTACAACAGGATAGAAATATAGTTACTAGAAATACGCTTTTCAAAGTAATTGAAGGCCTCGTGCTTTGCAAAGATCTCATCTAATTAAGAATTAATCTATTTAGTCATCTAAATAATATTTGATCTACTTTTCAGTTTTCAGATAAATTCATCAATTGGCTTACTGAATTGGCCCCTGCTTTGCAAAGATCTCATCTAATTAAGAATAAATCTATTTTGTCATCTAAATAATAGTTAATCTACTTTTCAGATAAATTTATCAATTAGCTTACTGAGTTGTGTATTGATAAGATCTGAATTGTTGGTTTTCATATTATAATAATAAAAATTAATTTCCTCACGTCATACTCCAAATGGTTACTACATAATAATATTGGAGGATATTCATGTTATTTTTATTGCAGTTTTACTGTTGATACGTGGGATTCACATCATATATATTTTATCAGATAACTTATATAACTCGCATCAAAACACGAAGATGCTCTTAAATGGTTCATATATCTTTTATCAGATAACTCACATAACTCGCATCAACTATCCATATTATGCCACATCATGTTGTCATTGAATATTGTAAAAAAAAATTGTACAAAGAGCTTTCTCCATCATATATTTGCGATCATCTCACCTCTAACATTGCTCTTTATTATCATTTACTTCGGAACTTCCTTTGAGATAAATTGAAGAACCAAGTAAACTACAATTTCCTGGGAGGAATCACATTGACTAAATCTAGCTAATCATTGGATTAAAAAAGCAAATAAATCGAATATTAATTTAACCATGAAATTATTAGAACCAAGCACATGCAAAGATATAAGTTGTTATATATCGTTCCTCTTTACGTCATCAAATTTACGAAATAAACTATTACTGGTGGATAGCTAAAGTATGTATAAAAAAACAGGATTAGAACGACAAACAAGGGATGTGTAAATGGAATCACTAAAACAGTCTAACTTGCACATTGCTGTATATGATTAGGTGATTAAACCTTGTCTGATAAAACACAGATTTGACCATTATGAAATAGTATCAATGTAATAAATAATTATTGGGGATTGAAGTGTGCGGGGAGCAAAATTTTGCGTAGAAATCATATTTATGTAAGAACACAAAATATAGTAGAAGCATAAATAAATATTTATTTTTTTTCGAGTAGTATCTCACTACTCTTCTGACATCTTCCTTTAGTGAATGATTACATCCCACAACGTATAGATCAGATTTACACATGAAGAACTCTCTCCTAAATCTACCAACACTTCAATCTACTCCACTAACTACTTTTTTTTGGCCAAACTCATGGAAGTACAAGACTCTCTTGGATCTCTCCCAGGTTAGACAAAAATTGCTCCAAGTATTCAGCAATTACAAAAGAAAACTAGGCTCTAAACTTACAACAGTATAGCAACACACGTTGTAAACTTGGATTCACACTTTATGAAGGCTAAATTGCAAAATACAATCAATATCTTTTATGCCGTAACAATAATAGCCACCCTTTTTAAAAATAGGCAATAATGGCCAACAACTTTTAGAATTCTGGGGCTATTATCCAAATTCAACCGAACTCGACGAATTGTGCCATAACACGCACACTCGTCTGATGTGGACTCCACGCCGATACAGGTATGTAGGCCACGTGGATTCCACATCAGTCGAGTGTGCAAGTTCTGACACAATTCCTTTGAGTTTGGTCGGATTTGGATAATAACCCTTAGATTTTAAAAGTTGGTTGCTACTATTGCCAATTCGTAAATATGGTGGATAGTATTGTCACCGCCTGAAAAATACTGGCTATATTTTGCAATTAAACCATTAATGAATATAAAAAGAAACTCACAAACAATAAGAGGAAACTGTATAATTCAATGACTAATGTACTCTCAACATGTTCTCTTCGAGAATATAATATAAAAACTTTTCATCTCCAGATTGCTGATCTTGATCATATAATAAAAGATTCAAAATCTTCTCAAGCAATGTGTTTCCTTCAGTATGACTCTTTAATGATACGAAAATCTTTAGATACACTAACTTTCCAAAATGATTTAAAACATGTTTCTTTTCCTTATATTCAGGATTTTCCGAATTTGACTGAATCTTCAACATATCTTCCGTGAATTCTTCTTATCTCAACAAAACACGTTCATATCTCATAATCTCGCTTGTATATCTTCTCTTCTAGTCAATATCCACCTTATGGAAAGTTACTTACACATGTAAGAAAACCGCGTATGCCTATAATCATCACAAATAAAGACATATGAATATAGATAAAATATATATCATGTAATCCTTCTCTCATAAAGTTTAGCACTCCATAATATTTACCAAATAATAAATTAAGCATAAATAGTGTCTGCTTAGATTTAGATATGAGTAGGGGTGAGCATCGGTGCGGTTCGGTGAAAAATCGCACCGAACTGAAAAAACCGAAAAATGTATATTTTTTCAAACCGAACCGCACCGAGCTTGGAAAAAAAATCGAACCAAAACCGAACCGAAATTTTCAGTTTGGTTCAGTTCGGTTTCGGTTAAACCACAAATAACTAAAAAAATCCAAAATAAATCAATTTGAAGACAAAATTAGGGTTCTTGCTTTCTTGGTCACACAGTGAAGAAAGAGAGCAAGTTAGAAAAGGAAAGAAGCAGTTCTGTCACGCAAGATTCAAGAAATAGAATTTTAAGTTAATAAGTGAAGTTGAGACTATACTAACCTCGCCACCTCTCTCCACCCGAACCAAAAGGGTTTCGAATCTTCATCACTTCCCATTCAACGAAAAGAACCTCAAGTGCAAATATTTTTCGACCTTACAGCCTTCGGGCACATACGAAATCCCAAGCACCCAAACCATTGAGTTCAATCTCGATAAAGCTCACACAAACACCCCCCTTGGGCAGCTCGAGTGGCTTCGAATTATCCACCAAATAAACATTGACAGCATAGAATTTTAAGTGTTGTTAATTGTAATTATTTTTTAATTGGTAATTGTCATTATTATTACTTTATAAATGGCCAAGTGGCCCAAAGACTTCAAACCCAAAGGCCCAAAAGTGAAAAGCAAAAGGTTGTCTCCCTGCATACTCACCCAACAGTACAAAAATTGCATTTCAACATATTCGGTGCAGTTCGATTAAAACCACACCCGTCGGACACAAAACCAAACCGCACTGAACTTTTTGCAGTTTTTCTAAATTCTAACCGCACCGAAACCGGAACCTTAAAAAATCGAACCAAACCGTCGGTTCGGTTCAGTTTTTCGGTTTCGGCTCGGTTTTGCTCACCCCTAGATATGAGGCTTTTGGGTTACTAATAGTCATCATCTCCACATGGTCACTCTGACTCAACTACTTTTCCACTTATGCACTGTGCTCTCGAAGATTTGCATGTTCTTTCATCACCCGCGATAACTCTCATTTGAGAGTTGCAATTGTTAGAAATCGGGTATAAAAATACACGGGAATCCTACGAACTGATATGTATTTTTCAATTCTTACAATTAATCTAAAATTAGAAAATTACAATTGAACTGAAAAATAAATCACAACTGAAAAATAAATTACAACTGGAAAACAAAACGGAAAGATTAAAGCCGAGGTGAGTAAAACTCTTTCCGCAAGAAGAATACGCCCCGTGTGGCAGTTAACGGTTCAGGCGTAATTTCCCCAAAGATACAACGGCAAACGTCTCTAAATCTGTAGCACACCAGATTTACGAGCTCCGGCAAACGGAAACGGAGTCGAGAATTGAGCACTAAAATAATAGGAATAAAAATATAAATATTATTTTTATTTTCTCTATTTTATTTCCCTTTCTTTCTTCTGCGGTATTGTTATTTCTCTATCTTCATGTATCATCTTCACCAAATGAGTTGAGTCCGTATTTATAGAACTTGGAAGCATCATTAATTTAGTAGTTGAGGTGGGTGCATTAAAAACCAACTTGCACTGACAATTTTGCAGGCCATCAAATCCTCTGACAATATGGCAGGTCATTATAATTCTGACAAAATGTCAGACCACATTAATACACTAATTAATTACACTCACCTACTAACAATCCTCCACATGAGTGTAATTAAATATAATATACTATGTGCTCAATCCTCACAAAACTATATTGCATCAGAGAAGGTAACTTTTGGCTTTGAACCTTTCTTTGTAAACATCATCGGATGCACTGGCGGACTAGTGGACATGATGCCTTGAACTATTCCTCCATAGTGTACACCGAGACAATGACATTTACACAATAGAGTCTTAACCATTTCGTTCTATCATTATGTCCGTTTTGGCCATGGACAACACATTGGATTCATAAGTGTTTATATTTGAAGCGGCCCTCACTTCACACTTATATAGGTGACCTCCCTATCGAGAGTATCCTGTCATACTCCACCTTTACAAGGTTAGGGATTCATTAAAAGTCCACATGACTTATCCTCACCACAATCAACAGGTCATCTTGCACTTGGAGTGCTCTAGGAAATAGCTTTGGACATTCATATGTTCCAAGTGCTCAACTGAATTTTCATAGCTTAGTTTTCCCTTTGAACCAAGTTCATGGAATCTCCACTCAACATGGTAGGGTTACCAGTA